GGCGGCTCGTCGAACAAGCTCCGCCGCGCAGGGACTTGCTCGGGCTCCTCACAGGGCAGAGGCAGCGGAGGCAGCGGAGGGGCGGGTAGCTGGTGTGCATAGCATGTGTATATGATATAAAATAAAACGCAAATCTCCAAAAACGCAAATGAAGATGTAGTCACATATATTATATGCACCAGGCCCTGCCACCCCCCCTCCCCCACCCATGGGATGGGTCCCATATGTTTGGAAAGTATGGTATGTTTGGTATGGCAGTATGTATAGTCTGTATGGTATCTATGGTTGCTATGATGGGTATGAAATGTTTCCTATGTAAGGTAGGTATGGTATGTATGGCATGTATGTTTGGTATTGTATGTATGGTAGGCGTGGTAATTATGTTTCATATGTATGATATGTGTGGTATGTATGATAGGTATGATAGGTATGGTATGCATGGCATCATTGGAATGTGTGGTAGGTACGGTATATGTTAAACACATGTAGTGTTGTCAGAGTACACAGGTAGTAAATAGAAAGTAGATACATAGCACATGTGTATATATATATATATGTCTATAGGTAGCACGTAGGTACTTTGAGGGAGTATGTGTGCTACGTAGGTCGCCTAAAAGGTAGCATGTACCTAGTAAATGCGAGGCTGGTAGTCAGAAATGCTGCAAAGACTTAGCAAATACGAAGCTGGACCTCAGAAATGCTGCCAATAGCTTGCAAATAGAAGGGAAGGGGGGGTGCTACCTGGGGACCCAACCCATTGGGGGGGTGGGTGGAGAGACGGAGGACGGGACCATATATACATACACATGTATTCTATGAATGTATTTGTTTAGATATTTGTTTGCAGAATGACATCTCGTTATATCGTATGCTCAGGTGTCATGCCACCATTGGGTGCAAGGATTTTAACCTCAAAGTCTGGGTTCCAAGGGTCTCAGAAGATTTTTCCGGCGGTTCAAATTGGCAATTTGGGGACTACATGGGACTACCAAGTCATTTCAAGGGTGACGTGACCTCAAACCCGGGTGGTTAAAACATGTCACTGTGAAAGGTCATCTAATAGACAAAAGTTGCTCCCCTTTGACGATTCAGAGCTGATGGTAACACAAGGCTTCCCTGTAAGAGGATGTATGACCCAAGGCGACATTCACTTGAAAACTGAAATTATTCTTCTTGGACGTTCTTTCCCAATTTCAATTTGTAGTTAGAACCTGTTTGGTCCACATTCAAGAACAGCAGCAGACTGCAAGCGACTAAAGGGTTAATCTTCAGCGGATACTGTTTTCAATGAATAAGATTTGGGTTTGTCCCAGAATCAGATATCCTGAGAATCAATGGCTTGTAGACTTGATTTATCATCATTGCCCACGTTAAAATAGCAGGTTCGAGCACTTTTGTGGGATACGTACTCTCTTGGTGCTTAGGCAACATAGTATGTGACCGCAATATACTATATGCATTGACATGAAATGCGATATAATGTAATCTACCGTTATATATATATGATACCAACATATAACAGCAATAGAACAACATAGAACAACATGGAACAGCAATATACAATCAAGGTTGCGCGCGATGAGAATTCTCAGGCTCCATTCTAAAATCATTTTGCATTGAGAAATTCCGTGGCTGAAAAATGCGGTACCAACCGCACAGATAGTAATGTGGTAAACCCAATCCCATAAACCTTCTCTGGTAATATTGGGGATGGTTTACTATTGGGTTTGCCACAGTATTTAAATTTAAGATGTATTATTAAACCCTCCAATTCGGTGTCAACATAGTTTTAGAGCCATGAAATCAAATCAACACGGAAAAATGTCCACAGAAATGGGAAGGAACCATACCGAAGCCATCACCACAATGTGTAAGAAAACCATCCATTGAATGCACTGCACTGATCATTATTCAGTTTCTACAACGACAAACCAGAAAATCTCTGGAGGCAAAATTCAGCCAGCAGCAGGTGTTCGCTGTCGGATCGAATGGACGCTCTTTGGGCCGTCGGATTCAGTACCACCAGAGAAACGGAGCGTTTTTGAAACTTCCCTTGGCAAGCCATTCAAAGTGACTCCTCGATCCACTAGTTTGACACAACATTACCCTTGAATTCCCTTGAACTAGTGACTAGATGTGACTAGGAACTATGAACTAGTATCCCAATTTATGGCCACTTTGAACTGCCAAGTCATCATTTTCTGATGGGCAGCTGCTAAAAACCAACAAATCTTTGAAGCCTATTGTTTGGGCTGACACAGCACTTCAATGAGACTGACACTGCAGCTGAAGGATCCTGGCCAACAGCCATTGCACCTGGAAATCGATTCCAATCCACTTTGCTGTGTCTGAAAATAGGGTCCACCGGTATACAATATACATCAATATACCCTAAACATCCCTAAACATGCCAATTTGATGAATTTAATGGGAAGATCATGATTAGCCATTGGATTCTGAGGTACAGTACCCTGTTTTCAGACGCACCTCCTTTTGAATCCACGGAAATTGTATGACTTCTAAATGAGGCGACATACAGGGCCTAGTCATGCTTCTTTTCACACAGTGGCATGAACCTTTAAAATATTTTTTAACTACAACGTGGCCATGCGTTGTTGCGAAAATCCAATCATGAACGGGTGAACATGAACCACGTTCAAAGGTCAGACATGGACATGGTCAATGGTCTTGACATGCCTTGCCAAAAGGTTGTGAATAGTTCGATCACAAAGTTGTCAGTGGAAGCCTCTGAGTTCGCTTTCCTTTGATCGACATTTTTTTGACTTGTAACACCCATTCCAAACTAAATTCATGACTAGTGAGCAATTATCCGCTGGCTACCCACAGCATGACACTTGACCGATATTGGATATTGATCATCATATATCAATCTATATAAACCTACTGCGTGCCGTTAAATCCGATGTTGTGGGGTTTTGCTGACCAAAGGTTCAGTGTTGGCTGCGTCGCAGGTCATTTCATCAGAGTGTGGGGAGGAATGTTGCCAAACAACCCAATTCTTTGGGTAAGATGATATTGCGTGGAGGAATTCTTCATTTGGAGCCAGGATAAGAGACTTTATCTCAAGGTTACTGCTACGAGATTGGATTGGCATCATTCATCCCAAACTGAATACTTTTGTCATATGCCATATCATATATCTATTCGAACAGCGGCCAAATTCGTGTCCCAAGGTCCCCTGAAATGTCGCCATGAGATCCACAAGGATCCAGAGCCTGCACCAGCTGAGATCCACCGGCAGAATGTGCGGCTGCACAACCGTTGGCCAAGGACACACCTTGGACAGCCTTGGACATTCTCATCCGTTGGCAGGTCAATGTCCTTCTATGTCTAAGTATTGGTGGTTTCAAGGTTTAGGTTCTCAAGAATTTTCCATTGAGATCATGATGATCATGATCACGACGAGGGATCGCAAAAGGACTTTGAAACCACCAATCTGAATACTTTACCACGGCAGTGCATCAATCAATGGTCAGACTTCGCAGGGATTCAAGAGCCGCCGAAAACGTTGGCCGATCATCTGGTGAATAGGAAATGCCTTAGATTTGCGAAGGTTTCAATGGAGAAGAACATGTTCTGACTCGTCTTTCCTCCCTTTTTCTTGATCTGAAACAACCTCAGGCCCATCCAAGGGTCTAGCTGTTCAGAGCTTTGCAGTACCCCGTGCTGGGTGGGAAGTTCCAGTTTTCTATGTCAAACTATACATATATATATAATACACAATATATATATATATACACATAATGTATACACATGTACATGCATCAATTAGCAATCACACAAACATTAGGTATCAGGAACTTTGTTGCACTCATTGTAATAACAACCCTCAACGGAATGTTGGGTAAACCATTACACGAGGCAGCGCCAAAAACGGTTTTCTGGGTGTCACCGCCCACAAAAGAGTCAATCCGGGAGCATATCAATCAATGCAAGGAGTTGATTCATTTTGTAACCACAGACAAGTTGTAACCCTAGGAATTCAAAAGTAAATTATGATATAATTCCTGGAAAATACATAGGACTGTATGAATTATAATATATATATATAATACATAGATTGTGCGTATACATACAGAAAAAAACAAAAATATTTCCTGTCGGGAACTCTTGTATTGCACTTTAAGTCTGGACAAGTTTAACGAAACCTTTTTGTAAAGCTAGCGAACATGTTTGATTGTTGCCATATTTGGTACGTGAATCAGGAGCAATGCTAAACAAACCAAAATATACATGTACGTGTATATATATATATATACACGTACATGTGTGCAAGATCATGAGTGATCTGAATGTCATCAACGAGCATCAGCTTGTTTCCAACATAGCGCTATTGTTACCAACATAGCGCTCCGACCGAGCTTCTTGGATCGAATGAGCAGGGAAGAAAAGTGAGGACCGTCACGTGTCGCCAAGCCACACCATTTGGTCCATAGGCCCCTCTTTCCAGTTCCAAGTGCTAGGGCACTACTGCTTCTGTGAAGGCTCCCGCATGGTAGCGGAGCCATTGGCTCTTGAGAAAAAGGTGTAGCTCTCACCGCGTTGCCGTGAGAGAAGAATGGGAGAAAGAAGTATGAAGCAAATAGAAAGGAGCAAGGATGGGGTGCCTTGCTGGGATGGGGATGCCTCAACGTATCAAGAATACGCTGAGTTAGCGGCACTGTGGGAACAATCAGTGCCGTACCACAAGAGATACTTGTGCGGCCCGAAGCTCGTGCAAGAGCTTTCAGGCACAGCTCGCCGGTTTGTGCTCGCCAAAGACCCGACATGGGTGAGCTTTCCCGGCGGTGTGCAGGTCCTGCTGGATCACCTGAGGCAGCATTTGGGGCTCCCTCAGATGTCCGAGATGAGCGACTTCATGGCGAAGTACTTCCGCAACAGCCGCCGGCACAAACATGAGACCATGAATGACTACATAACCAGAAAAGCTGAACTCTAGTCCCGTGCAAGCTTTGCACTGGCCAGAGTCCAGCAGAGATATGAGCCCACCAAGTCCGCCTAGGTCTCGTGGCTGGTCGGCAGACCAAGGAAGACTGCCGCCTCACTCAAGTTCGAGGACTACCAGCGAGATTCATGAAGCACCAGATCCCACAGATCTTCCACAGCCAGGTCTGAGGCCTCAGGTGCCTCATGTGGAGGATTGGCTCCGTGACGATGATGAGGAAGCACCAGGGGCAGACCCATGGGCACAATACTCGGGCTGGCGTCACTATGATGACTGGAAGCACTCCGGGTATGACTATGGGGACTCCTCCTGGAAGTGGCAGCCTGCTGAGCATGCTGCCCCAAGCTCTACCAGTGATGGCCTTTGGGGAAAAAGGGCCTTCGACCTCCTGCCAGACTTCGTGCAAGGATGGTTCCTTCTCCAAGATGCCAACTTGGAGACCAATGAGAAGAACATGATTCTGGCAGCCATCAAGAATGACTTTTCGGTCCAAAGAGTAGCACAAGAGTTACGCAACCAGTGGTGTGATGCCGACCTCAAGCGTCGTGACCAGTCTCAGAGAGGCTCAGCTTGGGTGATTGATGAACCTGAAGTAGCTGACGAAGACTGGGATAGCCCGAACTATGCCAACCTGGTCAACATGGGCCTCAACGAAGAAGGTCTTGCAGCCATGGAAGCCGCTGAGGATGAAGCTCAGGATGCCATGGCGGCCATGGAGAAGAACCGACGCACCCTTCGAGATGCCCGAGCACGCCAGCACTTTGTCAAGATGAGCAGGCAGTACTACAAGAGTAGTGATCGTGTGCGACAAGGGGAACGTCGAGACCATGACCATCAGGGCGCCATCAAGTGTCTGCGATGCGGTGGCCCCCACAAGGTGGCTGTGTGTCCCAAGAAGCACCAAGACCAAGCTTCAGTGACCACGACGTCAGAGGCCGCCCCTTTTGTCTTTTTTGCTGACCAGCCTGAGCATGAGCAGGCCTGTGTCTCCTCAGCTTACATCACCACCCAACAGGCCATGACCCAAGGGAAGGCAGTGCTGGATGGTGGAGCAACCAAGACTTTGGCTTCCGTGACAGCCTTGGAGCGCATCATGGAACTGAATGTGAGCAAGACTGGAGGCCATGGAATCCAGGATGTCAATGTGGACGACCGGCCAACCTTCGGCTTCGGCAACAGCTCCACGCAGAAATGCATCTCTACGGCAAACTTGGGCATTGCCGCTGGTGGTCGACAAGGGGTACTGAGAGTGCACACAATTGACAAAGGGGAAGGCCCCTTGCTGTTTTCCATCGATGCCCTGCGTAGCTTAGGTGCTGTCATAGACTTTGAACAAGATTTGGCGGTTTTCCGCCGATTGGATGCTCACCAAGTGATCAAGTTGGAACGTTCCAATACGGGACATCAGCTGTTGCCCCTCACTGAGGATTTGTTTGCTCAGGCAGTGAAGTCTGAGCGGCCGGTGCCAAGTTTGAAGGAATACCTGTAGGGACATCACCTCCCTGGCGTCGTCTCTGCCGACAAAAGGGAGGACTTTGAGATTGTAGCAGATTCAAATTCCAAGCGCCAACTCAGTGCACCGGGACAGAACCAGTGTGGATCTCATGCGGTTTGTGAGAGTTTTGATTCTTCTTTTGATTTTGTTTTGAATAGTGATGTCGATGGTGTTTGTCCTGGGAAAGCCAGTCCTCATGAACCATTTCAACATACACAGCACAATCACACATGTACAAACACACCACCAACTTCAGTCACCACCTCAGCTCATGTCGTGTCCTTAGACTCACCGGTTCAAGCTGTTGGAAGTGACTGCCCAGTCCACCACACTCAGGAGGATTTCGATCATGCCTCGACCAACCAAGGCAGAACTGATCCTGGCCATGGCGGAGTTGGGCGAGGTGCCTCCAAAAGTGTGGTCACAAGTGGAGATTGCAGCCCGCCTCGACGAGCTGCGGGCGGAACGTGGCCTGCCGCCACTCAGTGCTCCCAGCCGCAAGGAGAAGACGCCTCGCCGCAAGATGGTAATTGCCCTTAACCAAGCTGCCAAGCGCAAGGCCGACCTGCAGGTCTTTGCCACCCAGAGCTTGGGGTTGTCCCAGATCTCCAACGACACCATTCCCTTGCTGCAGGAAAAGTGCCTGCTCAAGATCTACCAGGACACGCCTGCCTCAGGCGAGGACCCAGTAGGGTTCGGTCGCCACTCGAGCCTGACGTATCAAGAGATTCAGGTCCACCATCCGGACTATGCACAATGGGTTCTTCAGACCAGCGAGGACGAGTGCGATCCTCGCCTGAGCCGCCTCGCCGGCTGGCTGCAGAGCCAAAGCCAAGTCAAGGTGGAGGTGAAGACCGAGGGGATGCCAGAGCCCATTCCTCAGTCTCTGTTGATCGAGAAGGGATACCTGAAGCCAGGGATGATCAAGACGAAGACCGAGGGATCTCAGAAATACTCCACCTCCGACAGTGTGTCCAGCTCTCAGCTGGAGCGAACGAATATGATGATCGAACAGCTTGCCAGCATGATGGGCGAGATGAAGGAGGAGCTCTCGGAGATGAAGCAAGAGCGCCCCCGGAAGGAAGTGAAGGGCAGTGCCTCCACGGCGAACGGCTCTTTCAGCATGATCGAGAAGTGAGTCCGGAGCTGTGGCCGGAAGGTTGGGATCCTAGCGTCACACCTCTTAGTAGCCACGACCCTAGTGACTCAGACTGTCTTGGACCTGGAGGGTCCCTAGAGAGCGTCTTGCCCTTAAGTCAGAAACTTAGTGACTCTGAAAAGAGACATGTGGAAACCTCAGTAGATCACATGTTGCCAGAGGCTCTCCAGTCACTTGTCATTGGCCAGCGGTCGATGTTGCTGGAGGTAGCTTGCAGTCCCAACAGTGTACTGACAACCACCATGCAGGAGTTAACTAAGAACCCCAATGGAGCTCACAGGTGTTCTTTGTGGAATGGGTGTGATTTGGGGACTGGTAAGGGGGTAAAAACGGTTTTGGATACCATTGACATGGTGCAGCTACTTTTTGTTTGGTTGAGTCCTGTATGCGGTCCTTACTCCATAATGCAGAACATCAATCAGCGGTCCGAAGCTCAACGTGCCGAGCTGTCAGAAAAGAGACGTGAGGCCCTCAAGCAGTATGTTGGATGTGCCATCATTTACAGGTACTGTTGCCAGCGTGGAATCCATGTGGGTTGGGAATGGTCACAAACTTGCACGGCATGGAGACTTCCTTTGATTGAAAAACTCAAACAGGAATACCAACCTTACCTTTCCACCGTTAGGGGCTGTCAAGTGAACCTTCGTGATGATGACCAACAGTTCACATCCAAGGGATGGAAAGTCATGAACACACATGAGCTTCTTGCGAAACGGTTGGATCTCCCATGTAGATGTAGTCCGGGTACTGTTCATGTTCCATGTGAAGGGAAACTTACCGAGCGTACTGCATACTATACCAAGGAGTTTGCCAAACGTGTTTGCCAAAGTATTCTCAAGGGGATGTCAACTGAAACTATCCACCGGGAAATCCACCAAGGGAAAACCCCCCAAGGGAATTTTGGTTTTGGGACTGAATGCATGTGTCATGAGGGTCAACACCACGATGCCCACATCACTTGTGGCCACTGCACCCAGCATGACTGGGAGAGGCAACTTGGGAAGGATGAACACATGGTTCTTGCGGCCCACAAAACCCCCGGAAGTAGTAAGTATGAGGGTTTACCAGTGGAGGAAATCAAGCGTAAACTGTACTTACTTCATGCTGCAACAGGTCATGGTCCCATCAAAAACCTGGTCAGAATGCTGAAGCACTATGGGGCCCCCAAAGAGGTTTTGGTTGAAGCTGAGAAGTTTCAGTGTTCAGTTTGTCAAGAGCGTAGCCGACCTCAGCCACGGAACCAAGCAACTCTCGAAATTCAACCAAAGAAACTTGAAGTGATTGAAGCTGATGTAGGTCACTGGGTTCACCCGGATGGAAATCACTACCAGTTCCTTTTGTATGTTGATTCAGGCAGCAGGTTCAAGGTGGCAAGACATATCATCACAGGTAAACGAGACCATGTCACCGCTGCTCAGTTCATCACCACGTTTCGGGAGTGTTGGGTTGAATATTTTGGGAACCCCCGAACTTTAAGGGTTGATCCTGATGGGGCTTTTCGCAGTCATGAGTTGTCCAGTTACTGTGATGCCAACAACATCTTTTTGGATATCATGCCAGGTGAAGCCCATTGGAAGCTGAGTCTTTGTGAACGGGGTATCCAAGGGGTAAAAGAACTGTTGTCGAAGATGGCTCAAGATTTTCCAGATGTAAGTTTTGTAGATCTTTTGTCAGAAGCCATTAGGGTTTTCAACTCCCGAGAACAAATCCGGGGTTATAGTCCAGTGCAACACCTCATGGGAAGAGCACCTGATGATGAGGGCCGCTTTTTCGCAGCCCCACGAGCACTGACTGCAGACCTTTGCTGTGAGGGTCCACGAGAAGAAAATGTCCGAAGCCATCAACTGAGACAGCAGGCTGAAATGCGATTCATTGAGTGGACTGGACAGCAAAGATTGTCCAGAGCCCAGAACTCAGAACTCCAAAGCCAAAATCCGGCCAGTTTACCATCCAGGTGACTTGGTCTATATCTGGAGACGCCAAGTTCCACTGAAAGAGGCAAAGAACAAACATGGCACTGGCCGGTTCATTGGCCCGGCTCGGATCTTGGCCACAGAAAGAGAGCGAGATGCAGATGGAGCACTGAAAACAGGAAGCTCCATTTGGCTGGTGAGAGGACGAAGATTGCTGAAATGTTGTGTGGAGCAATTGAGACATGCTTCCCAGCGGGAACACATTCTACAAGAACTGTATGATGCAGAACCCCAACCATGGGATTTTCCCAGGGTAGCCAAAGAGCTTGGGGGCAATGACTACGACGATCTCACCGAAGAACCACCCACTCCGGAAGAGCTTCGGAGGGCGGCAGATCCAGATCAAGAAGTACAGCCAAGCAAGAGACTGCGACAGAAATCAAGACCACCACCTGGGCAGGAAGTGACTCCAGCCCAAGCAACACCAGATCTCGCCACAGGTAGCAGTAGCAGCTCACGACCAGGCCGTAGCCGGAGTAGAGTGGGGCGGTCTGGCCCCAGCTCACAGGCCAGTTTTGTGGAGGGAGCTCACTGGACAGAATTGGTACATGACACTTTTCCTGCAGAACCGGAGGTCTCAGGTTTTTGGACTGAGCCAACTGCAGCTGTGAGTGTCTCCATTGACATGCCGACCACCAGGTCACAAACTGAAAAGATCCTGAAGGACCTTCCAACTTATTTTAACAATACTCTGAAGAAACGTGCTGCAGTGGAAGTGAGTGAGAAGTATCTGACACCAGCAGAACAAGAGGAGTTTCGAAACGCAAAAGGCATTGAGGTGTCCAACTTCCTGGCGGCAAAGGCATTTGAAGCCTTACCGAGTCACTTGAAGGTGGATCGGACAAGAGCTGTTCGTATGAGGTGGATACTGACTTGGAAACAAAAGGAAGACGGCACGAGAAAAGCAAAGGCAAGAGCCGTCTTACTAGGATACATGGACCCGCTGTACGAACATCGGTCAACAGCTTCTCCAACCACAACACGGCAGACCAGACAGATGCAACTGGCCATAGCAGCAGCATTGGGTTTCACGACTGAAAAAGGAGATGTCACAGGAGCATTTCTTCAATCACGGCCGTATCCAGCTGAACTCACTTGCGTGCCGTGTGAAGAGATTTGTGTCGCCATGGGCCTGGAGCCAAATTCAGTAGTTCGGGTCAAAAAGGCCTGCTATGGTTTGGTAGATGCACCTTTAGAATGGTACAGGTCCATTTGTGATTTCTTTCAAAAACTGGGACTCCGACGTTTGTGGAGTGACCCTTGCTGCTGGGTTCTGGAGAGAAACAACCAGGTTAGAGGCCTGATTTCAGGACATGTAGATGATTTTCTTTTCTCAGGATCAAAAAGTGATCCTCTTTGGCAGGAGACATGCGCTGCCATTCGGAGTGAATTCAAGTGGTCCGACTGGGAACATGGTAAGTATACTCAGTGTGGGGTCCTGGTAGAGGAACACTCTGATGGAACTTACTCCTTGTCCCAGGAGTCTTACATAGATGATCTTAGGTATATCAACTTGCGTGCGCATCGAAGGAAAGAAAAAGGCGCGCCAACTGATGCCTTGGAACAATCGCAATTGCGAACGCTCCTAGGTGGCTTGAGTTGGGTAGCACAGCAAACAGCACCGCATTTGGCGGCTGAAGTAGGTTTGCTGCTCTCTGAAGTAAACCACAGTAGTGTAGACACCATCAACCGTGCGAATCGTTTGTTGGACCAAGCAAAGGGCATGAAAGACCACAAAGTCCGAATCCATAAGATTCCACTGGACAAAATGATGGTGTGCGCCTGGTGTGACGCTGCAGCACACAACAGGCCAGACGGTAGCAGCACTCAGGGGATTGTCGTTGGGATCTCATCCACTGATTTAATCAAGGGTCAATGTGCACCAGTGTCTTTAGTCATGTGGCAGTCAGCCAAGATAGGAAGAATCTGTAGGAGCCCAGGTGCCAGCGAGGCAATTGCGGCAGTGAATGCCGAAGATCTTCTTTTCTTTGCCAGGTTTCAGTTGTCAGAAATGTCAGGCCATAAGGTACATGTACGACAGGTAAACCATGCAGTCAACACAGTGCCAGGATGCCTGGTCACCGACAGCAGAAACGTGTACGACAAATTGGCTTCTGAGGCTGTAGTTCCTAAGGGAGCGGAAAGACGCACTGACCTTGAGTTGATGAGCTTAAAGGCAGCCCAGCTTAGAAACCATGTCTTAGTCCGATGGGTCAACAGCGAAGCGCAGTTGGCCAACCCCTTGACTAAGGCCAGGGAACAAAGAGAGATGATGTTGTTTTACCGAATGAACCACCACTGGAAAATTGTAGAAGACGAAACAATGTCATCAGCAAAGAAACGTAAACTCAAAGGACAGTCACCAACTGGAAGATACTAAGGTACCAGACACACCACATACAACCACACCAAGCGTACACTCCACTTACAGGATTAATGGTTCTTGAGGTTGTCTTTCTTGCTTTGTTGTTTTTGTTGTGATTGTTGTTTGTTTTCTTTCTGGCCCGGTGGGGGGGATGCAAGATCATGAGTGATCTGAATGTCATCAACGAGCATCAGCTTGTTTCCAACATAGCGCTATTGTTACCAACATAGCGCTCCGACCGAGCTTCTTGGATCGAATGAGCAGGGAAGAAAAGTGAGGACCGTCACGTGTCGCCAAGCCACACCATTTGGTCCATAGGCCCCTCTTTCCAGTTCCAAGTGCTAGGGCACTACTGCTTCTGTGAAGGCTCCCGCACATGTGTATGTACATACATACATACATACATGTCATGACATGACATGACATGACACGACACGACATGACACGACATGACACGACATGACATGACACACATACATAAATTACATTACATTACATTATTACATTACATTATATACATTTCATTACATTACATTACATTTCATCACATTACATTACATTACATTACATACATACATACATACATACAGACATACATACATACGTACATACGTACATACGTACATACGTACATACGTACATACGTACATACGTACATACGTACATACAAACATACAGACATACAGACATACAGACATACAGACATACATACATACATTACATACATACACACATACATACACACATACATACATACATACATACATACATTACATACATTACATACATTACATACATTACATACATTACATACATTACATACATTACATACATTACATACATTACATACATTACATACATTACATACATTACATACATTACATACATTACATACATTACATACATTACATACATTACATACATTACATACATTACATACATTACATACATTACATACATTACATACATTACATACATTACATACATTACATACATACATACATACATACATACATACATACATACATACATACATACATACATACATACATTACATACATTACATACATACATACATTACATACATTACATACATTACATACATACATTACATACATTACATACATTACATACATACATTACATACATTACATACATTACACATACATTACATACATACATTACATACATTACATACATTACATACATTACATACATTACATACATTACATACATACATTACATACATACATTACATACATACATACATACATACATACATACATACATACATTACACTTACATACATTACTACTACTACATACATACATACATACATACATACATACATACATACATACATACATACATACATACATACATACATACACTACATACATACACTACATACATACATACATACATACATACATACATACATTACATACATACATACATACATACATACATACAACATACATACATACATACATACATACATACATACATACATACATACATACATACATACATACATACATACATTACATACATTACAATACATACATACATACATACATACATACATACATACATACATTACATACATACATAACATACATTACATATTACAATACATACAATACATACATACATAACATACATTACATAACTACATTACATACAATACATTACATACATACATACAATACATACATACATACCATACATACATACATTACATACATACATTACATACATACATTACATACATACATTACATACATACATTACATACATACATTACATACATACATTACATACATACATTACATACATACATTACATACATACATTACATACATACATTCCATACATACATTACATACATACATTACATACATACATTACATACATACATTACATTCATACATTACATACATACATTACATACATACATTACATACATACATTACATACATACATTACATACATACATTACATACATACATTACATACATACATACATACATACATACATACATACATACATACATACATACATACATACATACACACATACACACATTACATTACATAACATTACGTTACGTTACGTTACATTACATTACATACATACATACATACATACATACATAGCATAACATATCATAACATTACATAACATTACATAAGATTAAAAAACATTAAGTAATATTACATTACATTGAAATACATTACATTACATACATACATACATTACATACATAACATATTTACATACATACATTACATACATACTTAACATACATACATAATATACATACATAACATACATACATAACATACATACATTACATACATACATAGCATGCATACATAACATACATACATGACATACATACATAACATCCATACATAACATACATACATCACATACATACATAACATACATACATAACATACATACATAGCATACATGCATACATACATAACATACATACAAACAGAACATACATACATATATACATACATACATACATACATACATAATACAAACACACATAACTAACATACATACATACATACATACATACCTAACATACATACATACCTAACATACATACATACCTAACAAACATACCTATATACATACATAACTGCATACATGCATACATACATACATACACACACACATACATACATACATGCATACATACATACATACCATACATACATACATACATACCATAACATACCATAACATAACATAACACAACATAACATAACATACATACATATACATACGTATACATACGTATACATACATATACATACATACACATACATACATACATACATACATGCATGCATGCATGCATACATACATACATGCATGCATGCATGCATACATACATACATTACATACATTACATACATTACATACATTGCATTCATACATACAGTTACATACATTACATACATTACATACATTACATACATACATACATACCATACCATACCATACCATACATTACATGCATACATACATACATACATTACATTACATTACATTACATTACAATACAATACAATACAATACAATACAAACATACAATACATTACATTACATTACGTTACATTACATTTCCTTACGTTACATTACATTACATACATACATTAAATTACACTACATTACATTGGATTACATTACATTACATTACATACGCATACATATACATACATATACATACATGTACATACATATACATGCATATACATGCATTTACATACATATACATGCATATACATGCATATACATACATACATTACATACATACAAAAATACATTACATACATACATTACATACATACATAACATAACATGACATTACATTACATTAGTACATACATACAAACATTTACATTACATTACATTACATTACATTACTTAACATTCATACATACATACATACTTACATTACCATACATACATACATACATACATACATACATACATACATACATACATACATACATACATACATACATACATACATACATACATACATTACCATACATACACATATAACAATACATACATACATTACAATACATACATAACATACATACATACAGACATTACAATACATAAATACATACCATACATTACATTACATTACATTGCATTACATAACATAACATAACATTACATTACATGGCATGACATTACATTACATTACATTGCATGTATACATATTATGGATATATATGTACATATGCATATATGTGTATATTGATAAGTTTTGTGTCTATGTATATGTAAATGTATATGCATTCAGATAATTGCATATCTAAGCTCCAAAACATCGTCAAACAGATCTTGTCGGATGATTTTTATTTTTCAGAATGTAGTTTTCGGATGATTAAACCCAAGTTAAGCCCAAGTTGAACCACATGATTCATCCACCAAATTAAGCATCGTTGATGGTCCAAGATCCACCAAGCCACACTTCTTCATTAAAACACCCAAGTCTCCTGCGTCCTGCCGGGTTGAAATAGCCAAGGAAAATGGTCCATTTATAGTACGGATATACGGAGATACATCTCAAAATGCTGATTGTGAATAGCTACGTTCAATTACCAGAGGGTAAAATGTACTAGTTACTAAAGTACTGCTGGTATTCACTGACATGTTGAAGAATTGGTATAGACTCTACAGTGCTTTCTGATGTTCTTGAACAAGTGCCGCGTACTCATAACTGGGGAAGATAAGGAATCAAAAAATCAGTCAGCTGGGAAAATTAATTATCGCATTTGTTGGTATGGTATTGAAAACAAACCATGCTTCAAGACCCCAGTCGGCCGGGGTGTCGTGGCTGATGTTTGCAAGTGGTAACCATGATTGATCTCCCCCTTGTTGCGACATAAAGTCACTTAGAAGCTGGTTCATACTGGTAGCTCCATGTTGGGGACCTACAATCACCAAAGCAGTGTTCAAAATCCCTCATTCCATCTAATCCTGGTTGTTTCATAGGGATTCACCGTTCTTGGATTAGTTTAATCGCCCAGTATATTACAGGATGGGCCCCCCAAGTTGTAAGTTGGTTTATGAACCAGTATAATTAACCCCCATTAGCTATAGTCTATAGTTATATCTACCATAAATCATAGTTAAGCCACTTATAAGGCAACTTAGCTATCTTGGGGTCCCCATCCTGTAGGTAATAGCATCCCCGAAGGAATCATTAACCAACAGGGGTAGGTCGCAGCCACTGGCCTCTGACCATTGGGGCGTTCGGCCACCTGAACGGTGCGCCATGACCAATTCCTGAGCAAAAAAAAATATATTTTGTAATCACAGCTCGGACTAGAGCTATAGAATATGATGTATACATTTGTTTGTAT